ATATTGGTTTACATTTTTGAACGCAGATAGTTTTTTACATCATCTGATTTGAAAGAACTTTCACAGTCAGATTGTCAGTTTTGTTGGATGGTATTTGTCAACGAATATTGTCAAAGCAGTTTTCACATCTAAAATATTTTTGACCATAATGGTATGGCTTCACAGTATCTTGTGTTTTGACCGACAAATATTAGCCAGTATGGTGGTCCATCTGTTCTAACTCTCGGAATGTTTTCCAAGATATCCATAAACCAAGCATTTGGTGTTGAACTAAAGATTTTTATCATGAGTGCTTTTTTTGTTGCCTTAGAAACATAGGGGTCCTTGTTTGGATTCGTCATTTTTTATCCTATAAGAAATGGGTTTATTTGGCGCATTAGCAGGAGTTGCATCTAGATTTTTTACCCGCAGTGGGAACAATAGCCAGAGGTGTATTTGGAGTTGGAAGGAAGATTTTGAGTACATTAGGTATACTTAAAGAGAAAGCACAACCTATTATACAAACTGTACAGAAAGGTTGGGATGTAGCACGAGATGCAACAAATCTTATTCCAAATCCTGAAACAAGAGGAAAAGTTCAAGGATGGATGGACAATGTAGGAAGACAAGCAGGAAACTATTATAACAAAGCAAATGACTACTATAACCAAGCAGGACACTATATGGACCAAGGTGAAAGATTCTTTAACAGAGGATATAACCATGCACAACAGTGGGTAAACAATAACCAACCTCAACCGCCTCAAACGTGGGGAATGTAAAGTTTTTTACTGAGATGAAATGAACAATACAGCATTGAGACAAATGGGTTCAAGATGGATTTGTCGGCTTCCAGCAGTTACACCACGTGTTTGTCAAGTTCTTCCTATACCTCAGGAAGTTTTAGACCGACTTAAAAAACAACAACAACCAGTTGAAAACAAACCAAACTAAAATTTTTTACTGAGATGAAATGACCGAAGAAGTTGAAACGGTAGATTTGACACCACAAACAAAAAGTTCAGAACCATTGTCAAAACCTGTCAAAGAACTTACAGATGAAGAGAAAAATTCAATAATAGAAAGTGCCAGGTCTGGAAATACAAACCCTAACTATAAAGTCACTTTTCATAAAAATGGAACGGCTAGTATCTCAAAAAAGAAACAGACTCTCACAAATAAAATATTGAAGTCTGAAGGAGCTTTCGAGACAACAGATGGAAAAGTTTACTTCACTGACCAACAGTTCATTATAGAACATCTCATTGACTTAGAGTCGAAATATTCTAAACTTTACAACAAACACAAAAAGTTGAAAGGAAAAACAAAAACAAATGGCATATGATATTTATGAAGATGTTGACAACACAACTGTTCCTGCAAGTGAAGTAAAGTCAGAGGAACCGAAAAGTGACGAAAAACCGATAGAAGAAGAAAAAACAAAAACTGAAGATAAACCAAAACCAAAGTTTAGTTTCCAAACTAAACCAAGTCAACCTTCATTAGCTGGTATGGTTGGCGTCAAAGACTTATGGCAGCAGGCGGTTATGTAAAGTAAAGAAAAAAATATTTTTTTATTTTTATAAAAATGCCCCCATATAGAATGGATAGAAAATCTGCTAGAATAAAAGCAGAGTTACAAAGATATGGTTGGAGAGTTTCGAAGAATTTTAAATATAGGAAGGGAAGACCCATAAAAGTCTATGACAAACTGGCTGGTCTTCGCTACGAAATGGATTTGAAACAGCACGTGCAAATTATCCAAACAGACTAGAGAGGTTAGAAGAAGAACGTCTTATGGACATGCCTTTCGATGTTAGTGAACATTGCATGAAGTAAAAATTTATTTTAAAAAAGTGACATTTTTAATTTTATTTGAAATGTACGCTGAGTTTGTTGGAGAAGACCGTTGGGAAACTTGTTTGTTAGATGAGAAATATGAAATGGCATACTATTTTAAAACAATATATTTTTACATATATTAAATGCTTCAGGTTGAAAAACAAAGAACAAAAGTAGCAGATACAAAACCGTTAGACTATATCTTTACAAATGCTGGTAGGACTATTTCAGATGAAGAAATTTCATCCCGAATATACAGGTTTGACTATCCAATTCGTTGGCTTCAAAGTCCTTCAGATGCAAAGGCAATAGGATTTAGAAGAGTTTTGTTTTCAAATAGAACTAACGCATTTATGTTCGCAGTATATTTTCATGGGCAGTATAAAGGTTCTGGTGGTCTAATAGACAAATTTGACGAAATGAGGATCTTTACAGTTCGTTCAGACGAAAGTCTTGAGAAAACTCTAAATGACTTTCAAACTCAAATGAACAAATATTATTGGGAATTTCAAGAAAAATACGACTCTTTACTAAATGGAACATACTATCTGAAACTAGAATATGACAAGATGAACTCCACCGTTTCATTTCAAAAGATTGAAATTAACCCTCCAAGAGATACAGAGTTTTTATTTTGGAAAGTAGACAAACGTTCTTGGGCACAATTTCTTCGGTTACTAAACCAGAACGAACCATTACCACCAGATGGTCCATTTCAATTTATACTTCCACCAGCAGATTTGACAGTTTATAGAAACGTGTTTGACCCTCAAAATGTTATGTGTCATGCAAGTTTCAGTTCAAGCAACAATAGTTTTCTATGTATTGGTAAGGACTTTTATGACTTTGCTTCTAAATTCTACGAACCACCTAGTAACAGTTTCTCTGACTTTCAAGTTTGGTTCACAACAAATGGTGTGCAACATATTATTCCATTGTACTATGACTTTTATCTCGAATTGTCTTTCATATATAACTACGGAAAAGTGCTGAAAAAGTATTGAAAAATAATGTTTATGTTAGCATGTTAGATCTAACACGTTTTCTCACCTCTTTTCTAACATCGTAGAAAACTCATGAAAACAATTTATTTTTGACACTTTCACAAAAAACATAAAAAAGTGAGTTAAAATGAGATGTTTACTGAACTGGTTGGATGTCGCCTTCTGAGGTTATGTAGAACGGTTGTCCTGAGAAGTGGAACAGTGCTCTGAGAATTTGTATAATTCGTGGAATTGGACTCTCTCTGTTTGGAAGTAGTATCCAAGGACGCTTGGCAAAGAACTTTATAATGGCTTCCTTCTTTGCTTGCTTTATGTCGTCGAAAGGAGTGTTTTCTGGTATTTGAATTGGAATTCCAGTCGAAGTCTCGAGCTGAAGTGTAGACCTTCCAGAAATAGCGGTGAACTTGACCTTGGGCTTCATGACCTTGCGTAAGTAGTCTTTTACGCAGTTGTTAATTTCAATTAGGTAAACTGCCTCGTCAAATCCTTCTGGCATTCCGAGTCCTTCCATCCGACAGAAAAAATTTTTCCCGACAACAGGAAAAAATTTTCCCGACAACAGGAAAAAATTTTCCCGACAACTGGAAAAAAATTTCCTTCCGACAGAAAAAATTTTTCCTTCCGACAGGAAAAAATTTTCCAGTTGTCTGTCCGTAAACCATTCAAATTTTCGAAAATTGAGAACTTTTTGGTCGAACTTCAGGAAAAATTTTTCCGGACAACAGGAAAAGTTTTTCCGGACAACAGGAAAAGTTTTTCCGGACAACAGGAAAAGTTTTTCCGGACAACAGGAAAAGTTTTTCCGGACAACAGGAAAAGTTTTTCCTTCCGACAGGACACAAACGAATGTCTCACGTCCCACCAACCGAGTCCATTCCCAAACCAGAGGAACCTAAAGCACCAGCCCCTGCACCTCAGTTCCAGCAAGTACCTCCGAATTTCTACCAATTTCCACCTCAAGGTTACTACCCACCACAAGGCTTCCCGAACTACCCTCCTCAGCCTATGCCTTACTTCCCCAACCCTTGGATGTTCCAGCAAGCTCCACCCCAGCAATTCCAATCTCAGTCCAAATCGAAGAGAGACCAAGAGTTCGAAGAAGGTCTGAACCGTTTACGCAAAGAGTATGCCACAGCTCCAATTGAGAGAAAGTTGTTCCCGGACCAAAAATATAATTTAGGGTAGAAGGTTAGATCTCACCTGTTTTCTACCCTCTTGAATTTTCATGACTTCTTCGTAAATGTTTTGTCATGACTTCTTCGTAAATGTTTTGTCAAGACTTCTTCTTAATGAGTGTAAAGGACCAAAAAATATAATTTAGGGTAGAAGGTTAGATCTAACCTGTTTTCTAACCTGTTTTCTACCCTCTTGAATTTTCATGACTTCTTCGTAAATGTTTTGTCATGACTTCTTCGTAAATATTTTGTCAAGACTTCTTCGTAAATGTTTTGTCAAGACTTCTTCGTAATGAGTGTAAAGGACCAAAAAATATAATTTAGGGTAGAAGGTTAGATCTAACCTCTTTTCTAACCTCTTTTCTACCCTCTTGAATTTGTCATGATTTCATCGTAAATGATTTGTCAAGACTTCTTCGTAAATGTTTTGTCAAGACTTCTTCGTAAATGACCAAAAATATATTTTAGGGTAGATGGTTAGATCTAACCTGTTTTCTAACCTGTTTTCTACCCTCTTGAATTTTCATGACTTCTTCGTAAATGTTTTGTCAAGACTTCTTCGTAATGAGTGTAAAGGACCCAAAAATATAATTTAGGGTAGAAGGTTAGATCTAACCTCTTTTCTAACCTCTTTTCTACCCTCTTGAATTTGTCATGATTTCATCGTAAATGATTTGTCAAGACTTCTTCGTACATGTTTTGTCAAGACTTCTTCGTAAATGACCAAAAATATATTTTAGGGTAGATGGTTAGATCTAACCTGTTTTCTAACCTGTTTTCTACCCTCTTGAATTTTCATGACTTCTTCGTAAATGTTTTGTCAAGACTTCTTCGTAATGAGTGTAAAGGACCCAAAAATATAATTTAGGGTAGAAGGTTAGATCTAACCTGTTTTCTAACCTGTTTTCTACCCTCTTGAATTTTCATGAATTTTCCCGAAATAAAAAATAAAGTTAGTTTTATTTTTTTTTATTTTTTTATTTTGTATAAAAGAACAGAAATGTCAACAATCGGCACAACAACAATTCAAACAACAGCACCAAACTCGTTAGTCATGAATCCTACGTCAATGTTAGTAGAGATGAAAAGCTTCATTCCTTCTTCATATACTTTTGAAACAGAAATCCAGAAGATAAAGCAAGAACTTTTAACAAGTAATTTAGACTGTAGTGCGAAAGATGAAACAAATGAACAGTATCTTTATGAAATGCAGGACCTCATCGACCATTTACCTAAATTGCCTGAAATCCAACAACAAAAACTCACTATTCCTGAATTCGATGAAATAGAAGTCAAAGCAACTGACTCGGTAGAAATAAAGAAGTTCATACGAAAGGTAAACTATGAGTTTCTAGGATTTCATTGCAACCATAAGGTTATGGACAAAGATTGCGACATGTTATATAAGAACATCTCTGACATATATAAATCTGGGGAGTTTAAGACCTACGACAACTTTGTTTCGTTAGTTGCAGAATGTGTATGGCAGATAAGAGATAAAGATAGAAGAGGTAAGGTATGGAATGAACAGATAAAACCAGCAGCTTTTGAGTTAAAGAGAGCAATTGACGCTTTAGTTGTTTTAGCAGGTAAGGTTTCAGAATATAACGCAAAAATGAACCCGCAATGTTCTAAATGTAAAGCAGCAATGAGGAGATATAACTACTCCGTCAAAGAGATAGAACGTATGAGAAACGACTATGCAGACTTAAAGAAAGAAGCAGAGAAGCCGGTAGAAAATAAAATGGACATGTTAGAATTTCTGAACAAAAACTATCCAACAGCAGAAGATTTCCTTCTATCTGACGTCAAGAAGAAATATAAAGAGACTTTCGGCATAGTTAAAACATTCGATATCCTCAGCGAAGAAATAGAAGCTACAAAACTGTTTAGAGTCTCACGAATTCAAACGTTTACCATGTAAACGCTTATAAAATAACTGGGGTAGAAAAGAGGTTAGAAAACAGGTTAGATCTAACCTTCTACCCTAAACATTATTTTTATTGAATTCAGCAACAAAATTCTGAGTAAAATAATTTTTAGGGCATGTGTCAAACCGTTGAGTTTTCACAAAATTTAAAAAATAACGTTTACCATGTAAAACGCTTATAAAATAACTGGGGTAGAAAAGAGGTTAGAAAACAGGTTAGATCTAACCTTCTACCCTAAAATATATTTTTACTGAAAAATGACCAAAAATCATGAGTTTTGTGTGTTTTAGACCATGTTAGAAAACAGGTTAGATCTAACCTTCTACCCTAAAATATATTTTTGCTGAAAAATGACCAAATTTCATGAGTTTCCTTAAGACAGAAAAAATAAAGTTAGTTTTATTTTTATTTATTTTTTTATTTTGTATGTAAGAACAGAAATGTCAAACAATGAGTTTGAAACAGTTAAAAAGATAGACAATGACACCAAATTGGTTAGAATAGGTGATTTAAACGTAAGATACTCAAAGAAATACAACAAATATTCTTTGTCAGACATTATATCTCCATCTGGAAAGAAAACAAAGGACTGGGTTAAAATTGCTTCTACTCAGAAAATTTTGACAAGAAATCCTGAGCTTATGATATCGGTAAGATTCTATGGAACTACAGCATATCTCATCGACAAAAGTCTTATACCAATAGTTTTGTTATGGTTAGACCCAGTTGTTGGATATAACTTCATAACATATGGTTCATTCGATACGGAACGTTGCAGTGAAGGCTTACTTTACATCGTTCAGAAACCGAAGGACTTCAACACAAAAAGATATAAGATAGGAAGAACATATAATATAACTCAAAGATATGACAGTACAGTCAATAGAGTCAAGGTTGTGTTTGCTAATGATATGAGAGCTGCAGAAACAGAACTACTTGAAAAGTTTGAGAAAATGTATGGTGCTCCCATAAAAGGTAAAGAAACGTTTGAAGTAGATGAGATAGATAAAGCTATAAAATTATTTGACGAAGTTGCTGAAAAATACATGTAAAGCGTTTATTTTTGGTCTTTTGTGAAAGTCAGAAAATAACGCTAATTTTTTATAAAATTTGACGAAGTGCAAACCTTCACTTCGTGTCATAATGTAAAAATAACGCTAATTTTTTATAAATTTGACGAAGTGCAAACCTTCACTTCGTGTCATAATGTAAAAATAACGCTAATTTTTGACGAAGTGCAAACCTTCACTTCGTGTCATAATGTAAAAATAACGCTAATTTTTTATAAAATTTGACGAAGTGCAAACCTTCACTTCGTGTCATAATGTAAAAATAACGCTAATTTTTTATAAAATTTGACGAAGTGCAAACCTTCACTTCGTGTCATAATGTAAAAATAACGCTAATTTTTTATAAATTTGACGAAGTGCAAACCTTCACTTCGTGTCATAATGTAAAAATAACGCTAATTTTTTATAAAATTTGACGAAGTGCAAACCTTCACTTCGTGTCATAATGTAAAAATAACGCTAATTTTTGACGAAGTGCAAACCTTCACTTCGTGTCATAATGTAAAAATAACGCTAATTTTTTATAAAATTTGACGAAGTGCAAACCTTCACTTCGTGTCATAATGTAAAAATAACGCTAATTTTTTATAAAATTTGACGAAGTGCAAACCTTCACTTCGTGTCATAATGTAAAAATAACGCTAATTTTTGACGAAGTGCAAACCTTCACTTCGTGTCATAATGTAAAAATAACGCTAATTTTTTATAAAATTTGACGAAGTGCAAACCTTCACTTCGTGTCATAATGTAAAAATAACGCTAATTTTTGACGAAGTGCAAACCTTCACTTCGTGTCATAATGTAAAAATAACGCTAATTTTTTATAAAATTTGACGAAGTGCAAACCTTCACTTCGTGTCATAATGTAAAAATAACGCTAATTTTTGACGAAGTGCAAACCTTCACTTCGTGTCATAATGTAAAAATAACGTTTACCATGTAAAACGGTTGTGAAAAAAAGAGGTGAAAAAACAGGTGAAAAAACAGGTGAGATCGCACCTCTTCACCTAAACATTATTTTTGTCTGATTTACGCTCATTACGAAGAAATCTTGACAAAACATTTACGAAGAAGTCTTGACAAAACATTTACGAAGAAGTCTTGACAAAACATTTACGAAGAAGTCTTGACAAAGCATGTACGAAGAAGTCTTGACAAATCATTTACGATGAAATCATGACAAATTCAAGAGGTTAGAAAAGAGGTGAGAAAAGAGGTTAGATCTAACCTTCTACCCTAAAATATATTTTTGCTGAATTCAGCACAAAAATCTGAGTAAAATGGCATAAGATTGCTTCCCTCGGAAAACCGAGAGAAGAGATTCCGTATGAAAACAGTGAAGAACAGCGAGTAGGTAAGAAACCTTAGTCGCCAAAACTCTATGAAAATCATGAATTTCCTTAAGATAGAAAAAATAAAGTTAGTTTTATTTTTATTTATTTTTTTATTTTGTATGTAAGGACAGATATGTCAACAACAGAGAACACAACAACAGTTATAGTCCATGAAGCTATAAATGAAGAATATGAGTACATTCAGTTTAACAAACAACTCCGTCTCATTCGTTCGGTCAAAGACGATATGTACCAAATGCAAAGTATTTTGACAGCATGTTTTGCTCCAGACACTAAACACGCAGACGACTGGTTCAAAAACCAAAGCACACAAGAACTTTTGAGTGAAATTTCTCTAGACCGACTTTTTTCGGTCTTGCATAAAACACATGAAAATCGTAAAAATTTGCCAATAAATTTAAGAGGATATTATGTACATAGACTTTTAGTAAATGCAGTTGCAATGTGGGCTTCGCCTCGTTATGCATGGCATGTTTACAGACTTCTTGACGAAATTCATAGACAAGAACGTGAAGAGATGGAAAAGAAACTTCAAGCAAAAGATGAAGTCATTGAAGCAAAAGACAAAAGCATTCAGAAAAGAATACCACGTTCGGTACCAAAAGGAAAGGAAAAGAACTATAAGTATATGATTTATACTGAAGAGATGAAAAATGAAGAAGACAGAGATATGGTTATGTTGCATTTAGTCAGAAGAAACAACAAAAGCTTTTACGACCTTGCTAAGATTTACAAATCTGACAGAAATTGGTTCTATCGCGAAAACTTACCGATTTCAATGACCCCAAATGAAGATGTGAAACAAATAGTTCAAGATACGTTACCTCAAACACACTATGATATTAAAGGTTGTACAATTCTTACATTCAAAGAAGATTTGTCATTGTTAAAGGAAAAAATAACAGAGTATTTTGACAACTTCAAACAAGCAGAGTAAATGAACTCTTTATTTTTACGCTTGACTTTTTACAATTTGAACTTTGTTTGCGTAGATATGAATTCTGAAAGAAGTATGAGGGTCTTGTATGACTTTATACTTCTCCCAGAGTTCATGTCTGTCAAACTTACCTGCCATGGACTCTTTCATAAGTTCCATGAAATCGTCTTCGGACAATCCGGGGAAAAGTACAATGTCAGTAAGTATTCTCTTTACATCCTTACTTAAACTCTTTGCTGTCTGTACACATATTACGACTGAAATGTTAAAGTGCCTAAGTTTCTTAAGAATTCGACACATATCTTGTTCTCTATTCTTAAGCAAAGGATGAGAAGCAAAGTCATCTAAGATAAGAAGACATCTATGAGGGTAAGTCTTCCAATCGTAAGATTGCAATTTCTTCGAAATGTATTCTATCTCTTTCTGTTTGTTTCTGAAGTGTTTCTTCTCTAATATTCTCTGCATTTCCTCATTTGGGTCTTTAAACTTCGAATTTATATACTCATTTATAGCATTGTACTTCAAAACCCTTCTTTGGTACTTCTTTATCCAATCTAACAACTCAGTATCCTTTATACATACTAACTTAGACTTCTTTATAATATCTTTGAACGAATTGACGGTTTGGTCAAATTGACCAGAAGTACTACAAATAACAACTAACTCATAGAATGGGTTCTTCTCATCTAGTTCTTGTTGTTGTGCAGCCATTTTAAGATAAGTGAAAGTCTTACCCGACCCAGGTGGTGCAATTAGACCTGTTATACCATTCTGAGCAAATAAGAACTTGTCATGTATGGGTTTTATCTGAGCATTTTCTAACTTCCTCTTGTTCTTGTTTAAAACATTCTCAAATTTCTTGTCAATGTCAGCAAACTTTTTTTCTAACATATTTTTAGAAAAATTAAAATTTTTATCTTTTAGAAAATGTCTAGCGATTTCGCTATCTATATTCGAGACAAGCTTTTCGACAGCAAAACATCTATCGACCATAAAATCTTACATAGTGTAAACAAGAAAGGTGAATTTGTTCTAAAGTTCTGTTTCTGGGAATATGACAAGAACCATAAAACATTAAGCAGAGCAGTCTTAAAATTTGTCAATGACAGACTTGTTGACAGAGATGACACCGATTGGAAAGATGAAGTCCAACAAAAGTTCTTAGAATGCAAAGAAGACACATGCGCTGTTCTTGAAGATGAAATAGAAAACAGAATAGATGAGCTATTAAAGGACAAAGAACTTTTACATAAATATGGTTCTGAGAAATTTGACATAACTCCACCAGAAAAGAAGAAGAAAAAGAAAGAAAAGAAAGTAGAAGAAGAGAAGAAAGAACCTGAACCAGTTCCAGAGAAAAAGAAATTTGACATGTAAAAATAAAATTTTATTTTTAGAACATTTCTGGGTCAATGTCAATGTTCTCTTCCTCTTTAGGAGCAAACACTGGCTTAGACTCTAAAATCTTTTTACCCAATTTACCTTGAACTTCAACTATCTTAGACTCATAATATTCATAGTCGTCTGCTTTCTTTGGTTCATAAGGTATAACAAGTTTGTATGCTTTGCCTTCTTTAAGGTTTGAAAACCTTCTGTCAAAACTTTCTTTGACTGCTAACAAACCGTCAATGTATAAGTCTTCAAATTTCGCACCATTTTTAGTCACAATAGCAAACTTAACTGGTTCGATGTTCCAAACTTTGCTGAATGAAGACTTTTCAAAATGGTAGAAGTAAACATTCAAATATGTGAATGGGTCTAGTTCTTCTTTAAGTCCTGACATGTACTTGTTTACTGAGATGAATTTTGTCATCTTTTCTATCGGATAAAAAAATATTTTTTTAAAAAATTTACTCAGAAAAATTATTTCTTTCTATATTTGCCATTCCGAACTTCGAAAAGATGTTTTATACCAGCATAGAATTTTTCTCTAGAGCTTGGTCTTATATCGTTTTCATGACAATATTTTCTATATTCTTCATATAAAGCCTTTTTTTCATACATTTCATAAGGACAATCTAACCAGAATAGCGCATATCCATTTTCGTTATCTAAGTCTCTATATGTTTCTTCTGTTTGTAGAATTTCGCTTTCTCTATTTAGTTCTATGTCTATATATTGTGGCTTAAAAAGATGTGGGCAAGAAGGGTCTGGCGCTATGTAAAAAGTTAATTTTTCTGTCATCTTTTCTATCGGATAAAAAAATATTTTTTTTAAAATTTACTCATAAAAAATTTTCTTTGTATATACACCATTCTGAACATCTAAAAGACTTTTGACATTTGCCAAGAATGTTCGTTTAGACGCTGTCATATAACCATATTCTTGACAATATTGTTTATACGAATCGTACAATGACCTTTCATCTAAACACTCAAAGTCAGTTTCATCTATGAACAGTTCATATACACTCTTGTTTGCTTCTAACAATGTTTGTCTCTCTTCGGTATGTGGAATTTGTCTTGGATTGAACTTTGAAATATCTAATGTCATGAAATATGAGAACAAGTGGTTGTAAAAGTCAGATGTCAAAGTTTCTGCTAAGTCGTCAAAATATTCTGTATCTTGCATATGAGAATCTGACGTTCTGACAACTACATATCTTCTGTCAGAACTTTCTAACTTCATCGGAACAGCATTGTTTGAAACCATAATGAAGTTTGCAACATTTTCACAAACTCTTTGGTCTTTATACTTTCTTTCAACAACTCCAACTTTGTCTGTTATAAGACTCTTCAAAGCATCTGAGTTTAAAACTTTTGTTGTATCTATACTTTGAAGTTCGTTACATACTATAAGTTTCATATTCTCTATTGAGGAGTTAAACTTGCCACAGATGTTTTCTAAGTTTGTCATATTAGGGTTCGAATAGCCCTCTAACAGTTTGCACAAAATATCTGTAAAGAATGTGTTCTTACCAGTTCCTTGTTTTCCAATTATAATGAGAGCAGTTTCATTTTTAGCACTTGGATGTTATAAGATGTTTGCAAACCAACATAAGATATACTCATAAACCTTTTCGTTTCCATTGCATATAATTTCTTTGACATGGTCTAACCAAGCTTCTATAATATTTTCTTTCCATTCTACTTGTTCGTATTTATATCCAGTGAAGATAGAATAGAAGTTTGGAGAAGGTGTATAAAACTTTATACCTCGAACTGAAAAATCTTCTAACTTTGACAATAAGATATCCCAAGCATCTAACATCTTCATGCCAACTTGTACGACTTTTATTTTCTTAAGTTTCTGTCTACATTCTTGTTCTGAAACTATTGTCGCTTTAGGTTTGTTAAAGACTACATCCCATTCTTTCATAACATAACATTCTGGGGCAGAGTCAACATAAATGACTAAACGTTTCAAATTCTCGACTGCTTTGTTATAGTCTCTAAATGGACACATATTTCTGAATGCTTGGAAGTCATAAAAATCTGAAACATCTATTCTGTACATTTTTATAAAAATAAAAAAAAATATTTTTTTATTCTTGACTTTGTTGTTCCATTTGTTGCATTTGTTGTTCTTGAGCTATTTGTTGTTGAAGTTGTTCTTGTAATACAATACTTTCACCAGTTGCATCTTCCAATTCGAAACTTTCTGCCGTCATTGACAAATACATAGGACATAAAAGTTTTACAGGAACAAAGTTTGCGTCAACTAATGTCAACGTTATACTTGCCAAAGTGTTTGAGTTCACTAAGGTTGAAAATTCTGCATTCGAATGAACAATAGGCAAACCAGCAGAGAAAGTATTGTTTATACGCATAAGTATCTTTTGGTCATAATAGTTTCTGTCGACATTCGAATAACACTTTGAACCTAAGTTTGAAACAATATATAAGATTGGTGTGCTTAATGTCAATGGAATAGACATTCCTTGTATGACACCTTTTCCTGTTATAGGAAACTGTTGGTAGTAAAAACCAGAAATAAGTTTTGTATTATAGCTCATATCGTTTATAGTAAACTCAGTCGGACATCCAAACATAATGAAACCTGCTCTAGTTGCAGCACATGTTACACCCGTACTTAAAGTATTAAATAAGTCAACAAAACCTGTTGGTGGTATATCTGAGTAAGTATCTTCAAAGGAGTATTTTTTACCATTCACAACAATAAAGTCTTCTGGTGTCAAAAGAGCAAAACAGGCTTTAGTCGTCATTGTGTTTAAGGTTAGTTTACAATATCGTCCTTGAGGACTTTGTAAGTTTGTTGTTATAGAATTATATGACTCGGGGTTTTTAGTCGTAATAGTATAAACCATTATGTCTTCTGCCATTTATATATATTTAAAAGTTTTTCTGAAAGTGGAGAAGAACTTCATCTAAACTTTCACATGGCGTTTCTTGAAGTTCTCTGTCTAAGAAGTTCAAATATTTTGTAAAGACATAGAACTTTCCTTTGTCTACACGAACAAACAAAACAGGGTCTTTCATATCGTTCAAAAGTGTGTAAAGTCCTTTACATGAAATAAAGTCTATATTATTTTTCTTCAAACATCTTTCAAGAAGTTTTGACATTTTTACTTAGCAAATAAATTTTAATGAAATGTTGTGGTCGTCAAATATTTTTATAACGTCTGGGAAACTATACTTTAAGTTCAACGTTTCACCTCCTTTCATAACGTATATCTTGTCAATGACATTATATGAAACACCACAGCAACTAATGTCGGGTTCTATTTCTTTGATGTTTATATCGTCTGCCTCTGTCAAAAGTTTCAATAGTTCTTTCAAAACTTCATGAGGTGCAATGACATATGAGTTCACTTTTACAGGGTTGTGTTCGACCAAGTTTAACATTATACCTAAAGCTTGACAAATCTTCTCCTGAGTTTGAAGTTTGTCTTTCAGTTGTTGGTAGTCATTTCGAATATCTGCAACAGAACTTAAGTCTCTGCTAACTTCAGGATATGTTGGTTCTTTTACAGGAACAATTGTTATACCATCTTCGTCTTCGTATGGTTTCCCCACTTCAACATCTCTGTCTTTGACATTGACAATAACACTTTGACTGTTTGTTTGAGTTGGTGAATTTAACTTCACATCTGCCACCGCCATTAAACCTTTTGAAACACTCACGCTTCTATTTTTCGGAAATGACATTTTACTTAGAATAAAAAGATGGACGTATTCGAGTATCTCTTCGAATTGAAGCAGAACAAAGTTTACACACACAAACAATACAAATACATTGACAGAATAGTTCTTTATACAAACAATGGTAAATGTTATAGAATAGCAGTCTTTGCTGAACCTAAATATTTTCATAAAGCAAAGAAAGTTGGTATAACCGAGATGGTGAAAGTTCTTGAAGCAGACAAAAATATAACAACAAAACTTACAGATATTTCTAAAGGAAAGTTTATCTTACAATATTATGTCAAAACTGGCGTACTGTCAATATTTGACGGAGAGAAGTCAGTTCAAGAACAACTTACTGACCTGCTGCCAAAATCTGCTCGATGGAAGCTGTCGTTATGCCAATCTGAGGAGCCCCAGCAGGTTTCATCGAACGAATCTTCAAAAGAGCATCTTCCGTGAAAAGTGCTATTGGTTTTTGTAAACTTCTTTGCTCTCAGTTCATCTGGACCGTCTCTGTCACCAGTATATTGTATTTGAACTGTACCAACAGTTGAAATACCACCCATAAAGTCTTCTGAGTCAGCAAATGGAATGCCAAGCCAAAAGTTTGAACGGTCTCCATTTGTATATTGAGTTTTTTGACCTCCTGTATGAGTCCATACTTTCACATATGGCATAATAGAACTTTGCATTTCAGGGTTAATGGTTGTTGTGAAGTTGTTGTTAAAGTTCATAGCATCTAATGTCAAGTTGTATGACCTCATATCCTCAACTGTAGAATATTCTTCTCTTGGATAATATTTGCCATCTATGTTTATATGATATTTAATACCGGGTTGTAGAAACAAGAATAGTCATTTATAGTTCGTCTGAACAGTACAAACATAGTATCTGCATGTTTCATTGCAGTTGTTAAAGCAATATCTGTTCTTGCACCTGGGTCAGCACTTTGGTTTCCAACTTCACCTGCAAAGTCTTTGACAGATATTTGGTGTATAGGGAACATAAGTGGAACTGCAATATATTTGGCAGCTAAAGCATTTGAAATATCTGGGTCCAACATATAACGGCAAGTCTGCTTTCTATTCTCTTGCATTCAAATTTTTCGCATGTGAACTTAACTGGGTCCCAAGCAGTTCCAGCAGCATTAATAATAGTTTACTTCATTGTTGAAGTTTGAGAAACCAAAGTCTAAGTCAACTTTGTCTTTGCAAAAGTCACAGAACTTGGCTCCACCAGTTCCAGCTATAGTAATGCTGAATGGGTCTGTGTTAGTGCAATGACTAAGTTATTTTTGCTTGGAGTAAGTTCGATAGAAATTTTTCCTGCCCAGTTTGGCAAGTATCTTAAAAACCTGAAGATGAGGAAAGATGACAAAGGAACTCTAAGTTTCAGTTTTACTTTAGTGGCAGCAGTTCCATCTGAACCAGAAAGGTTAACATAAACTCCTGGAACGTTAGGGTCAAGTCTTCTTATTTTCTCAATATTTGCATACTGGTCTGTTTGTTCTCTAGCTTGTGGTTGTACTGAGTTTCTCAAAGCGAACCATTCATAGTTTGCCCATGTTACTGTTTGAACTAAGTCAGAGTTAGAATATATCTTATATCCCATGAAAACTTCTGGAGCATATTGGTATCCGACATAGAAAATTCCATTGCAACCTTTCTTGTCAGACAACTTGGCAGAAGGTTTTATTTCAATGTCTTGTTCCACGTATAAGAATGAGTTGTCAATAGAAATAATATGAAACCTGTCGCAAGCAATATCTACTGTTGTTGAAGAACCTTCTCCAAACTCACCTACATTTCCATAAGAAACAGCAGTTGTATATTCGTAAGTTCCAGGAACTATTTCTGACCTTCTAATGGCATTGTCGCATTCGTTATACCATTCGGAAACATTTCCGTTCATGGCATCCAAAACTGTTGGCGTTATATTCTGAGCGGCGTACATTTCATATGGGTAAAAATATAGAATAGTTGGATTTATATGTCATAATAGAACCCACTCGTACCAAGCTTTACTTTCTTCCTGACTGAGTTTTTAACTCTTCTTTTTCCTTCATTGCCACTACTTTCACTAGATGAAGTTACTTCTTCACTACTTTCACTTTGTTCTACTCTTCTTCTTTGGTGTCGCTTTTGGTAACTTGCCCTCTGCTTCAAGTTGTTGCATCTTTGCCTCATGTTCACCTAGTATGTTGTAAATTTCCCATGTCCTTTTTGCCTTTGGGCTCTGGTCGCCCATCTCAGGTAACCTATATCCTAGAAAGATTTTGCCATAGTTTGTATTTGAGTCTTCGCGTATTGTTTGCATGACTCTTTCCTGAGTTTCCGGTTCAAGCTCTTCAAACAGAGCTTGTCCATATGGAATATGCTCGTTTCCAAATATATGTTTTTGTAGCCATTCTGGTTTTCTTTCCATGTTACCAATAATATCTTTTGTGAATGGGAAAGCTTTTACCCAATGTTTCAGTCTTGCGTCATTTATTTCTGTAGTTGGTTTTATTTTGTCAAGGAACATGTTTTTCAATACTAACATTTCATTTGGTACTGTCCATTTGAGTTTTCTTAAATATTCATCCCTTCTCGGTTCATTGTCTGCAAAGTAAGTTTTTATGACATTTTGCAAACTTTCGTTTGCAAGGTCATGTACAATAGGTTCTCTTCCTTCTATCTCCCTAACTTTCTTTCTAAACTCTTCACCAAATATACCATCTTTATGGTTCTGTGTAGTTCTTTGAGATAAATGTTTTAGAACGTCAGGTGTTATATTTCCATCAGCCATGTTCATTTCATACTGGTTCAAAATATCTGCATCTTTCATATCTTTCAATGGCATTAAAGCCGCGCTGAAAATACCAGCTATATCTGGTTCACCATTCACTTCCATTGCGTCTACAACTTCTTGGAATTGTGGTTGTAAGTTTATGAACCACCTATCCGGATTAGCTTTATGACCCCATCTCATTGTAGTTCCATAGTCTGCAGAAACAAAAGTAGGTTTGTTTCCATATTGGTTAGGTTCTGAATGAACTTTAAACAATGTTTCATTTCTATATGTTTTGTTGAAATTTAACCTTTTATTTTCACCGAGTTCAGCCAAAGATTGAACGTTATATGGTCGTAAGTAAAAAGGATTGTTGTATTTGCGTACACTTTCTTTCAGTTCTTCCATTCTATGCTGAATATTTTCATCTGATGTTGGAGTCTTTTGTATGTCGGCGAACATTTTTCGATATTCTTCTACTATGTCAGCCGAATTTTTCTTAGACTCTTGGAAAGATTCCATATTCCCCGCATACACTTGTTGAGGGTCAAGATTTTTCGGCTGTTCCAAATCTTCATCTAGTTCTGTGAAGTTAGTTTCCAAAGGAAGGACTTGTTCGTTTCCTTCAGGCTCTTCTAGCTGTTGTTGCTGAACTATTTCTTCCATGTCTGGTTGTATCTGAACTTCTTCCTGTGGAGTTTCTTGTACCTCATCTGCTGGCATTTCATATATTCCGAGACCGTTTTTAAAAAGTTCCCTATCTAAGTCATCCGGACTCATAAACCTTTCTTCTTTCGTTCCGTCTCTATTTTTTACGCGTTTCATGAAGAGAGTTGAATTATCATTTAGCTCTGACACCAAATATCTCGGAGTAAATTCAGTCATGTCATTTGGATGATATGCTATTAAATCATATCCCTTAGCGAGCTTGTATTTTCCAGGTTTGAAATTATATCCCATTTGGTGCTGAACCATAAAGCTAAATAGGTTCGGGTCAGTATTTCCTTCCTTGAACTTTCTAATAGCTTCTTTATATCTGTCACTAAAGTCAAGAGTATCTGGGTAACCATAGTCTTCCTTAAGCATTTTTAAGAATTCTTGGTTTCCTTGTTCTCTACTTCTTTTATGTCCTTGCTCTGTTTGTGGTTGTTGTTGTGCAGGGTTTTGAACTGTTGGTTGCTGTGCAGTGTTTTGAACTGTTGGTTGCTGTGCAGTGTTTTGAACTGTTGGTTGTGGTGCTGGATTTTGAACTGTTGGTTGTGGTGCTGGATTTTGAACTGTTGGTTGTTGTGTTGGTTGTTGTGTTGGTTTTGGTGCATGCCTGTGTCTGTGTCCATGTGACGATGTAAATGTTTTAGGTAGTCCTGGTGCAGGTGCTTCTCTTGGAGGGTTTGGTGGTATATAAGTTCCACTAGCTAGTATATAAGTTCCACCAGCTGGTATATAAGTTCCACCAGCTGGCACATATGTTCCATCTGCAGCATAATGTCCTACCTGACTTTTCGTTTTTAAGAAAGCATTTACTAGGTCTGTTTTGGTCTGTTGTAACTCTTTTTCTTGACTTTCCACAACAGTTGCTCTAACGGCGTCATAGGCACTTTGAACTGCCTGTCTCGTTGCTGCATCTGTTATTTTCGTCATATTTTGTGCTACTTCTCTTAACTCGTTGTCGAAACCTTCAGACTTCAGTTTCTTTCCAGATGAGAAGTCGTTCACTAGTTTCACCTTACTATGAAGAGCTTCGAAGGCGTTCTTAAAGTCAGCATTCATTAAAGCTTCATTTGAACTGTCTTCATCCGCTTGTATTTTTGTCCTTATTGACCCTATAAGTTGGGCTGCTTTGGCGTTGGCTTGGGCATCTAACCAGTCATTATTAGCTTTTATATATTCTGCGCTTTTCATTGCCTTTTGCATGGCTGCGTCGTTATTTTTACTTTCTTGTGCTAAGTTTTCATACTGTACGGTTTGGTTTTGCAACTGTAAAAGTTTTTCTGCCTTTACATTTGCTTCAACTTCTTTTTTATACTCATCGCTATCCATATATGTCTTCAGGGCTTTTTGTTTTATCTCTTCATCTTTCAGTACTTTATATTGAGTAGTATGGTTTTTTCAAATTTATAACATCTTGTTCCATTTTTGCTACTTCTGCTGCTTTTTCTGACACTTTTTCGCATATTCCTCTGTACTTAGTTCTTTCAGTTGTTCTTCTTTCTTCTTTTTCTCTACGTTTAACTCATTGAGTTTCTTTGTGTGTCTGTCATATTCTAGTTTCTTTTCGTTTTCACTTATTTGTTTCTGTATGTCTATGTTTGACTTTTTGACATCTGTTATTTGATTTTTGAGTGAACTCAAATTCATTTGACTTTGAGGGTTATAAGCTGTTCCGTCTGCAGCTCCACCATAGCCTGCCATTTTCGCTAAAAGTGCCGCTCTTAAACCTCCACTCTGTGCACCAATAACTCGGCTTAAAAGCATAGGGTTGCTTGACATTTGTTGCAACATAGTGGGGTCATTCATAATTTGTTGTTGCAACTGTTGTTGTGGTGTCAGTTTTACTATTGGATGTTTCAATGCTCTCTTCCTCTTACGTATATTCTTACGTAGCTTACGTGGCATTTTAAGTGAAGTTAAAAAGCGGTTTTTGACAGATGTTTATATGACACTTTTTGTTCAGCACAAAAAACTACTCGGTCAAAGTGTTGTCAGTTTTGTAAAATAACCGTCTTATCTCATTCTATAAGGGGAAAAGGCTTCTCAAAGTATACTTCCTTGGAACGCCTGTAACTTTTCCTGTAGCGACGATAGACCCTTACTTGTCCGGACAAAGTTATACTAAACATCTTCAGGGCTAGAGGGCACGAAGTGCCTGGAGGCCCCACTACCTTTTTTTTTTAATGTTATATTCTTATTATTGAATAATATTTTGGCGCGAGAAAGGGACAGACTAGCCCATTGTCACTTTTTAATTTAGCAAATGAACGCTTATGGAGTGGAGTTTTTGGGTAAATCTGATTTGCTTATAAATGAAATAAAATCAAAAGAAACCATATTGGCATTATATTATGCAAAAATAAATGATCTTACTTAGTACTTTTAAAGTTAATTTCAGAAAAAATTTGACACAATGGTATCCGGCACATACAAGTGGTGTACAACCAAAATATAAGTTAGTTTAAACATATATTGCTATATCTCATGATCTTACTTAGTACTTTTAAAGTTAATTTCAGAAAAAATTTGACACAATGGTATCCGGCACATACAAGTGGTGTACAACCAAAATATAAGTTAGTTTAAACATATATTGCTATATCTCATGATCTTACTTAGTACTTTTAAAGTTAATTTCAGAAAAAATTTGACACAATGGTATCCGGCACATACAAGTGGTGTACAACCAAAATATAAGTTAGTTTAAACATATATTGCTATATCTCATGATCTTACTTAGTACTTTTAAAGTTAATTTCAGAAAAAATTTGACACAATGGTATCCGGCACATACAAGTGGTGTACAACCAAAATATAAGTTAGTTTAAACATATATTGCTATATCTCATGATCTTACTTAGTACTTTTAAAGTTAATTTCAGAAAAAATTTGACACAATGGTATCCGGCACATACAAGTGGTGTACAACCAAAATATAAGTTAGTTTAAACATATATTGCTATATCTCATGATCTTACTTAGTACTTTTAAAGTTAATTTCAGAAAAAATTTGACACAATGGTATCCGGCACATACAAGTGGTGTACAACCAAAATATAAGTTAGTTTAACATATATTGCTATATCTCATGATCTTACTTAGTACTTTTAAAGTTAATTTCAGAAAAAATTTGACACAATGGTATCCGGCACATACAAGTGGTGTACAACCAAAAATATAAGTTAGTTTAAACATATATTGCTATATCTCATGATCTTACTTAGTACTTTTAAAGTTAATTTCAGAAAAAATTTGACACAATGGTATCCGGCACATACAAGTGGTGTACAACCAAAATATAAGTTAGTTTAAACATATATTGCTATATCTCATGATCTTACTTAGTACTTTTAAAGTTAATTTCAGAAAAAATTTGACACAATGGTATCCGGCACATACAAGTGGTGTACAACCAAAATATAAGTTAGTTTAAACATATATTGCTGCTATATCTCATGATCTTACTTAGTACTTTTAAAGTTAATTTCAGAAAAAATTTGACACAATGGTATCCGGCACATACAAGTGGTGTACAACCAAAATATAAGTTAGTTTAAACATATATTGCTATATCTCATGATCTTACTTAGTACTTTTAAAGTTAATTTCAGAAAAAATTTGACACAATGGTATCGCACATACAAGTGGTGTACAACCAAAATATAAGTTAGTTTAAACATATATTGCTATATCTCATGATCTTACTTAGTAACTTTTAAAGTTAATTTCAGAAAAAATTTGACACAAATGGTATCCGGCACATACAAGTGGTGTACAACCAAAAATATAAGTTAGTTTAAACATATATTGCTATATCTCATGATCTTACTTAGTACTTTTAAAGTTAATTTCAGAAAAAATTTGACACAATGGTATCCGGCACATACAAGTGGTGTACAACCAAAATATAAGTTAGTTTAAACATATATTGCTATATCTCATGATCTTACTTAGTACTTTTAAAGTTAATTTCAGAAAAAATTTGACACAATGGTATCCGGCACATACAAGTGGTGTACAACCAAATCTTCGACTCGATGAACTTGTCATCGAGTTATATTCCAGTGTTGTTCCTTCATTCCTGATTAAGTTGCAAATTAAAGGTCTGGATTCAGAGAGAAGTGTTAAAGTTATCAAAAAAGTCACAAGAGATTTCGAAGAAATGACACAATTTAAAAAAGTCGAATGCATCAGTATGCTTGAAGCTGTTCAGAAAGGTCTGAAAAATGATACACTTGATCCCAACATTGTTTACTCAACATTAAAAATATTATTGCAAAGAAAACATTTGATTTAATAAACATTTAATTTATTATAATTAATTTTTTATTACAGTATAGTAAAAAATGCTATAAATAAATTATTATATTTTATTAAAATGTGACTTTTAATAGTAAGTGAATAAAATAAATCAGGAATTGGGAAAGAAATAAGGTTAATTAAAAATAATGAAAATTACAAGTTTAAGGTTAATGGAAAAGTGACAATGGGCGAGTTTGTCCCCCACTCATTTTGGCGCCGAAATTTTTTCGAACATGGTAGGTCAAAAAAAACTTTTTAATTTTAATAAATAATATAATGTTTATATAGTTTGCCATTGTTCGTTATGAAATGGATGTTATTTCCGAATGATATTTGATGTTAATTTTTAAAACTCAAAGCAAACTTTAAATTGATCGTGTGCATTATATGCTTAGTACAATTATATCCTATATGTCTATTATGTTAATAAATTTATCCTTATAAGTAACATAAGTATATGTCTTATATGCTTAGTACAATTATATCCTATATGTTGTGAGAAAGACATTGAATATTATCTCAAAATCGGCCCGATAACTTTCATGCGATACTTCGCACATCAAATATCCATCCCCTATATAGTAAGTATCCATAGCCAAAATCAAAAATTATTGGTAACTCATATGCGTGTTAATTTTCAAATTCCCAAATTTCTTGTAGATATTGGAAATTTTCTTCAATACATCATTTGGGGATAATATTTTAATCAATTCCTTATATTAGGAATAAAGAAAGAGATTACCGTATAATTGTCACTTTTACTAATAACGTATCACATAAATTATGTCTGAAGTAGACCAGACGCTGAAAAGAATTGTGGGCAACAAAACAGTTGATGGAATTCTTGTTCTTGATGGAAAGAATAAAATCACACATGCAGCTTTGAAGCAATACGATCAAAACAAAGTTGCTGAGAAGCTTTCTCCTCTAATTGAAAGAGCCCGCTGCATGGTACGCGATCTCGATCCAACAAATGACCTCACATTCCTTCGTATCCGCGCCGATAACTATGAAATCCTTGTTTCTCCAGGCGATGATTATACGTTAATCGTCTTCCAGAAAGTTACTCCACTCGAACAATAATTTCTTCAAATTACAATATTATTTATTGCTACTTTATGCATCTCCAATGGTTATTTCTTTGGCATATCTTATTTGATTTTATTGACTAATTATTTAACTCTATTTCAACAAGTAGCAAAGATTGATTCTTATGTGAAGCTAACTTTCTTAATTATCTATTTTTATATTTATTAAAGCTAAATGTTTGATATTCCATTTCCTGCTGTTTTAAAATACCTCTAGTTTCAATAGTAATATTGTGGTCATAATCTTATTCCATTATTTTTATATTTTTCTTGATTTTGCATTGGCAATTCATTAATTTTGACAAAACAACAGCTAGAAATATAACTGCTAAGCATATTTGAAAATTATTTACTTGAACAGATTTCTAAAATCATACATTGTAAGCGATTTTTCTTCCGTCAGAGCTTTTTTTGGCGGTTTCCGAAATGAAGGTCTGGAAACTGGTCATAGCGATATTAATTGTAGTAATTGTACTACTAGCTCTCTTCCTTCTTTCGTTGTTTGCAAAAGTAAAAGTCGAACAAAAACCATTTTTAGAACAGAAAATTGTATATCGAATTGTTAAAGGCGATTTAAACACTCTAAAACACGAACAAAGTATATATAATAAACGAGCCAGAAGTTTATTTGGTCGAGATATGAAGAATTGGCCAACTTTCAGAATTTTATTCCCAACAGACAAAAACTATGGTGTTTTCGGAATTCTTGTGCCTCAAACATTTCATATTGAAGAGGATTGCCTTCAAGAACTAGGCTTTGTTTTCGGAGTTCTCGACTTTATTCCTGACACAGTTAATATAGAGTTACCGATGAGGATTAAATCATCGATCTGCTTAAGCCGAATGAGGTGCATGAATAAGATTGCTACAATTTCTAAAACAGCAACTTATGCTGAAATTCATGATTGGAAGAGAAGAAGAATATCATTTGTTATTGTTAAAGGCGATTCTAATGGGCTTTGGATCCCGCAATGAACTTATTTGCAAAGTTCCAAATTTGTCTAAACACATTTATATATTATTTTACACCGATATTTCATTGTATCATATACCAAGTACATTTCACGAGTTCATTTATCTAATAATGCTTTAATATACTGATTTTCCTAAAGATTTTCCCAAATTTGAAAATTAAGTCTAAAATTCTATGTTATTTTTATTCTCTTTTGTTATAAAAGAGATAATGTAATAACAAAAGCATCGGAAAAGGAAAGAGAAGCATCTTATTCAGGAACATTATTTTTTGCCCCATGTGAAATTAGAAGCTAAGCTATTTCCTTATTATTTCTCTCTGCTGCAATTTGAAAAGCGGTTTTTCCATCTTCACCTTCATCATTGATATTTGCGCCACGCGAAACAAGAAGCTCTGTTAATTCTTTACTAAATTCTACTGCATAATGAAGAGCACTATTTCCATATTTATCTTTTTCATTGATACTTGAACCATGTGAAATTAGAAGTTCGACTGTTTCTTTGCTATTATTCTCTACTGCAATATGAAGAGCAGTTTGTCCATATTTATCTTTTTCATTAATATTTGCACCATATGAAATAAGAAGTTCTGCTGTTTCTTTGCTATTATTTTGTGCTGCACTATGAAGCGCAGTCTTTTCATTTCCAGCTTTTTCATTGATATTTACGCCATGTGATAGGAAATATTTGCAAAGGGATGGAATATCAAATGTTGCTGAGTAAACAAAAACTTTGTTAATATCATTAGTTTGATCAAAATAAATTAAAAATGTTTCAAGGTTTTGATAATATCCACAATAATACAAATCGATCTCTATATTGTATTTGTTCATCAAGAATGTAACAAAATCAATGTTATGTGAAATAATTGCGAAGGTCATGCAACCTTTATCTGGTTTTTGATTGTTCAAACATTCACTAATAATATCTGGATTTCCTCCTAAAAATGAAAGATGTAGACATGTTTGAGTTATTTCTGAGTCAAATTTCGTTCTTAATAACTTGAAACAATCAACTGCTCCGTGATAACAACACAATTCTAGTAATGATAATCCACCAAAATAATATGGATATAATTCGCTTTCAAGTTTCTGTTTTTCATCAAAATCATCTGTTTCCGTGAATGTGATGAATCTTTCTTTGTCATCATACATAATTGCTTTGTAAATTGTATTTTCTGTATGAATATCTAGATTTTTGAAGTCAATTTCTCCGAAATCATAAGATTTGCCTAATTTAATTCCATATTCTTTGTAAAACAAGAGATTTGAAATGTGTCTAACATTACTGACCTCTTTTACATGATAATCATCAGATATGAATTTGGCATGAGATAAATATGACTTTATATATCGATTATTATATGGAATGATATTTAAAATATCTTTTAAAATTAATTGTGGAATATATTTCTTTGAATCAATCAAATTTGTCTTGATCATTTTGTAAATCGAGCTTAATTCTTCTTCATTTTCCGTTTTTAGCTTATACAACCCATTGTACGAATCGATGTAGTATTCATAGATACTTCGTAATTCATAGTATTTTTTTGGATGAATGTCTTGCTCAGACATTAAAATATTTAAAAAGAAAGTTATGTTATATATTTGAATTTATCATATTAAGCATTTTTGAAATTCATTAAGAGAAAAATATCATGATATATATGTGGAAAAATTTTCGAATATAATTATAAAATTTGGATATGTTCATATCTATGAGATAACATTATAACGCTATTTAAGTCTATTGCAATAAGATATTCATCGGCTTACTTTCTTCGCCTCTCTTTGTTAAACATATTGAAGACGCTTATCAACTTGTTTAAAATGCTATAGTGAAACAAATTCAATATAGCTATCTTCATTTGACAATACATAAGCATTGTAGCCTTTTTATAAGGCTTTTGCAAAGAAGTTCATACCATTAATAAAAAGTTAATCAATATATTCTATTTAGGTTGTTCATTTAGGGTTGCCAATTTGGATGATAAAATTTCCCCTCATGAGAAAGATTTACGGCGAAATTATTCTTCTAAAAATCGACCTTTATAGTTCTGAATAAAACTTGAATTGCTAAAATCTTCTATCGTTCAAAAATTTTATGGAGTATAAGTTCAAAGTTGTGGTCGTTGGGAGCTCTGGTGTTGGAAAAACATCGATAGTAGAGAGATTGATAAATGGAAAATTCGATAACGATCAAATTTCAACAACTGGTGCTGATTATAGTCATTATACAACAATAGTTAACGAAAAACAAGTTAAATTACAGATATGGGATACAGCAGGACAAGAAAGATATAGAGCAATATCAAAATCATATTTTCGCAATGCTGTTGGAGTTCTTTTAGTTTATGACATTACAAGTTTAGATTCCTTTGACGAATTGATGCAATGGCTTAATGATATTCAAACATTATGTTCACCAAACTCTTACGTTCTTCTTGTCGGTAATAAATCTGATTTAGAATCTCAACGAAAAGTTAGTCCGAACCAAGTTGAACAATTTGCTACATCAAATCACTTAGAATCAATTGTTACTTCTGCTCAGTCAGGCGACAATGTTAAGAACGCTTTTGAAAAATTAGCTTCAGAGTTATACACACGCCAAATAAATGGCCAATTTACAGCTCCTGGTGAGAATGCACCAGAACTTATTGATACAACTAACTCAAATAATTCATACTGTAGTTGTTAATATTATTTGTTAAATGTTTATAATAAAAAATCATAAAAACATGTATTTTTCCTGAATTGTGTGCATTGTATATTCAAATTGCATAATTTAATATGAGCATTTCAATCATATTGATAATATCGATAAAAATTATGAGGTTTTAATATTATAACATGATTTTATGACTTATATTCAAACAAAACAAAAACAAAAATATCATTATAAAGAAAATAATTCTCTAACTCTTTCATCAATATCTAAAATAGCTTTTCCTAATAATGGAAATTCTAAAACTAATGGAAATAGGAAAGGAATCTGGTCATTTGTGAATTCTTTCAATGTTTGAGAGATAAATTCTAATTGTGTTGAAGTAATTGACTTATAAGTGTATTGGATCTCATCAGCAATATCTTGTATGACTGGTGAATACAAACAAGAAAGAGGAAAATCAAAATTTTGTTGAGATATCACAGATCCTAAAATTTCCAATGAATTTTTTAAATTGGAAATATTATACATCGATAAATCTGATATAAACATTATATGAATCTGTGGGCGTATTTTTATGGCAGAAACTAATTGTTCTGCAAATTGGATGGTTGGAGCATTGATATATATGTTAAAGATTGATATCATCAATGCTGGTGAGATGTTTGGAGATGCAATATCAATGCACATAATAAGTTGAGGAGGAATTTCTAATTTTCTTTTTTCTAATTCTTCAAGTAAGTATGGTATAAGATTTTTTGGAGGCGATGAGAGAGCAATAGTTGAAAGTGCTTCATCTGTAATGGATTGCATATATTCTCGTGGATAATGCATTACTGCTTTAATAACTAAGTTTCCTGGCAATCCAAAGAGCGAATGTAGTTTGGATTGTTGACTTCCAAGTTTCCGTAATAAATTTGCTGCCCAAAGCGATGGCTGATCTCCTGGATTGTTTCTTGCTGTTATGAATTTAAACAATATATCAGTGATAAGGTCGCAAACTTGCATTTCAGAGCATAAATAAGGATTTGATAGTATCTTTTCAACGTTCTTTGGTATGAAATTATATTGATTTGTAATTGTAACAATGTCGAATTCTTCAACATAGCTTGAGTATTTCTTTAATTGATCTAAAAACTCTGCTGGTATATCTTGCGCTGGATTTTGAGCAAAGCTATCAACAAATGCAGCAACTTCATTACTTTTCATCAACACATTTATGATTTAGAACATATTAAACCATTCTCAGTGTGATGTATATTAGTGGTTCCTAGACTAGAGAGAACAATTGATCAATGTAAATCCAAAATCCAATTTATAATCAATTTCGGAGATTAATTATGATGTAAAAAGGTAGAAGAATGTATAGGTAGTATATTTCGGAATTTGTTTCAAATTTTCAGGATTTCGTAACAAAAAAAAATCTAAAAATAAATGTTTCTCATATTTTCTACATTTACTGTTTCAACAATATATTTCTGGGAAACATTTGATAGTCCCGCCTGGAAGAGCCGCTGGATTACTGGAGCGAAAACTAAGCGCGGGCCCTCTTTAGGTCAATTTGATGTTAGTGCAGGTGGATACTATGTAGATAAGAAGCAACAACGTGGTTTAGTAGCTACACAAGATGATAAAATGTACATTATTAGTTGCAAATTAGATAAACCTTTTAATACTTCTGGCAGAGATTTAATATTTCAGTACATGGTTAAAAATGAAGGCAAATTAGGTACAGCTTCGACAAAACTGAAACTATACGGAGCCAATTTCAGACAAAATACACACAATCCGAAGAGTTTTTACGAAATTTCATTTGGTCAAGACTTCCACGATTGGGATAGACATCACGTAGAGTTCAAAATCATGCGTAATAGATCAGAATACGTATCTACGAAACCTTTAATGACATTTCATGACCAGTTAACACATTTATACACTTTAATCATCTTTGCGAACCAATCTTACCAAATCAGAATGGATAACTGGGTTGATCGTGAGGCAACACTTGAAGAAGACTTCAATTACTGCAATCCTAGGCTTGTTGAAGATCCATTTGACGAAAAACCAAAAGATTGGGTCGACGAAGCAGAAATAGACGATCCAGAAGACTTACCACCAGAAGAATGGCGTGATATACCTCGTTTAATACCAAATCCATATGCTAGAAAGCCAGCATTATGGGATGATAAAGTTGATGGACCTTGGAAGCGACCATTAGTACCAAATCCAGAGTTCTTGATTGATTGGAAGCCAAGAAGAATAAAGAATCCTGCTTTCAAGGGTGATTGGAAGCCAAGAATCATCGAAAATCCAGAATATAACCCAGATCCGAAATTTGGCAAACCGGAAAAACTTTTGTACGTCGGAATGGACAACTACATCGACCACGCTGCCACTTTTTGGGATAACATCCTTGTAACAGACGACATGGGTGTAATGGATGACAAAATCGAAGAATTTTACTACACAATACAGAACCCTGAGAGAAAATACCTCGTGAAGAAGGTCGATGAACAGGAAGGAAAGAACAAAGATGATAAGAACAAAATTAAAGAATTGTAAATTATATTTTTTTTATAACATCGATATTTTTAATTTAGCATTTATTTTTTTGGTGTAGTGTGATACTTATATACATGGATCTGTAGTCAAAAAAAGTGCGACAAAAGAATTGAAATTTTAGAATTTTGTCAAAAATAGTGAATGTCTCTTTATTTATATCATCAATTAAAAATTCTTCTTCAATAAAATAAATTTGAAGGGAATTTTTGAATCATGGTGTTACCCCCTACTTTAATTTTAATGTTCTTGATTGATTTTCAATCAAGAGAATTCATGATTTTATGAATTCATTGGCAAGCAAAAGAAGAATATCCATCATGATCAATCACCTGATGATGTTTGGAAGTTATTTTACAATACATCACCTAATTCAGAACCAATTCAAGGTACAAACGTTCAAGCAAGATCAACAAATAATGAATGCTTCTTATATAACTGTATATTTATCACAATTACAACTAAAAGTGCAATTTCTTTTGAAAGATCAAACAATAAGTTTCTTAACTCAGATTGTTCATTTAATAACTGCAGCAGTGATACAGATGGTGGATCTCTCTACTTTATTTGTAATAGTTCAATTGTTCAATACCGAACATGTGGCTACAAATCAAAAACAAACTCCTGGGGACATCATTCATATGTTTGGTTAGTTTCTAAATCAAATAATAAAAATTATCTTTATGAAAGTTCTTTTTATGCATGCGGAAATTTAGAAAAACCTTATACAAATTATCCTAAATATGGAAATATTGGAGTTAAATCAATCAACACAAGTTTCTGTGAAGCAAACTATGGAGCAGGAATACTTCTATATGAACCAACAAGTCTAAGTAATGTAACATATTCATCATTTTGTAACACAACATCAAATTTCGTAATTTTAGATATATATTATGGTAACTATAATTTTAATTTTTGTAATGTTTTGAATAATGAACACAAAAAATCTGATTATGGAACATTCTATGCATTTGGATCAACTGTTCTTATTGAAAACTGTTCATTTCTTGGAAACACAGGACCAGGAGTAGAATTTTATCAAGATTATTCTGGTTCAATTACAGTTAAAGATTCTTTCTGTGACAGAACAGATAAAATATATAGAGCAGTTACAACAAATAATGTTCGAAATATATATTCTATTCATAATCTTTCTCACTTTTCATCATATCTGTGTGAAGTTGATTATCCTATTTTAGATAAAAAGCCTATGAGATCTGCTTTTGATTTATATCATCAATTTTCCTTTAGACGAAGGCGTTAATATTCATGATTTATGAATTTATATAATCAAAAAATTGTAATTAAAGACCATTATTAACGAAAGCATTCATCAATTGTTTAATATCAATTGAAATATGAAAAACTTTATATTCAAAAGATGATGCGGCTTGATTTCTCAATTTAATTTTCAAAGAGTTCGTATTTGTTACAGTGAATTTAAATAATTAGTACTGATATAGTAATGCAATAATATCGGGAACATGGCTCTTAATTTCGAAATAGGTTTTCTTTGTAAGGCATCTAAGTATTAACAAACTGATATTTCAATAAAGAGTTCAATATTATAATAGAAATTTGCTATGACAGAAAGAATAAAACTATAGCAAAAAGAATTATTGTTATTTCGATGATATTTTGTAATATTCTTCGTTTACAAATGATTGGACATTGTATCTTTGGGAGATGTTGGATAATAAATTTAACGATTTCTTATTCAATTCTATTATATCATTGCTATCTTGAAGTGGAAAATTTTTCTTAAGAGTGCACTTACACCTGTATTACATGTCCTTCGATTCAGATGTTTAAGGTTAATTTTCAATGACACTTCACGCCATTTGTCAGAAATTTGAATTAAAGTCAGATACGCGTAAGTGCACCCTTAAGAACATTTGTCATTACAAGTATAAGTAAAGACACTCAAGATGCATTTTTGTCATTCAATAATCTATTCTCTCGCTATTGCAAACAATTTCAAATGTCGCATTCAATTTCTGTGTAATACAATATCATTCACTAGGATCAGTTTATTCATAACTTTACTCACTTTTCAACATATTTCTGTAAAGCAGGATAAATATGCTTCCAATACGTAACATCATTTATCATTTTCCTTTAGACAAGTGCGTTAATTTTTCAAGGATTTATTATTATCGTTTTTTATTATTAAAAATAATTTTTTTACAAACAAAAAAAATAAAAAAACTCATTTATTTAAAAGAAGATTAATGATATCTTCGTTCTTTGTCTGGAGTGCGACGTCTTTAGCTGTGTGTCCTTCGCTGTCAACAACACTCAAATCGAGGTCTTCACGAGAAAGGAGAACTTTGACAACTTCGATTTTTTCGTTTTCAATAGCGTTGAAAATAGGAGTTCGCTTCATCAAGTTCTGACGGTTGACATCGACATTTTCGTGTTGAAGCAACTCTTCGACGAAACTAGTTGAGCCGCATTTAGCGGCAACATGGAGAGGTGTCCACTGGATTGAGTCGACGCAGTTCAAGTCAACGTCATCTCGATCGGCGAAAAGACGGATTAAGTCTGAGAAATCATTAGATGCAGCGATGTGAAGAGGTGTGAAACTAGAATCATCAGGAAGTTGTGGATTGACATCTTTGTCGTTCAGAAGACACTCAACGCACTGTTTGTGGTGGAGAAGAACTGCGTAATGAAGAGCACTGCGATTCTTCTTGTCGACGATGTTCTTCTCGATGCCTGGAAAACTCAAGAGAAGTTCTAAAGCTTCGAAATGTCCGTCACGAGCTGCCCGGATCAATGCTGTACGTGATGAGTTGTTAGTGGCATTGACATCAATGGATGGATCAGAAAGAAGAAGTCGCAGAACACGTGTGTGACCATTAATTGCTCTCAACATAACACTTTAATTGTCAACATCTTCTTACAGTTAAAGAATTCTGTAACAAATTCAATTTATTTGATTTATCAGATACTAATGTTTTAAAAAAGCATATTGTTTTGATCAATTTCATCTAATTCAATATTGCATTCTATTACTGCTACTAAACAATTCATTGTTTCGGCATATTCCATACAATTCGTATTTGTCAAAAAATTAAACATCAAATCCCAAATAGGATATAAATGATTTTTGTAGATACTAATTCTCGAAATTAATGTAGAGATGTTGGATATAAGACTAGTCATATATTAAGGGTGCACACGAGAGGATCATGTAAACTTCAGAATTTAGAACCTTATTTTTAGGCATTATCTTGGCTACCTATTTAGGCTCGAAAAGCAAAAAAATATCAAAAAATACAACTTGACTCCATTATGACCCTTTCATGGAGGTAGTTTTTATCCGCTAGTATTTTCCCTTTGAATCTCTTTACAATTCGAAATCAAATTCAAAACTCAGTAGAAGAAAGGAAGAATCGACTTACTACGGTTGTAATACGAATAAATACATATATTTAATTATTTTTATTTACATAATAATTGTTTGAAGCTCATATTCCAACAAATTTTTAAATAAAAACATTAAAATGTTGAAAATGTTCATATATTTTAATAGGGTTTTGGCACTTTATTGAGGAATTACTACATACATAGTCGAACTGGAGTGGGGGACAAACTCGCCCATTGTCACTTTTCATTAACCTTAAACTTGTAATTTTCATTATTTTTAATTAACCTTATTTCTTTCCCAATTCCTGATTTATTTTATTCACTTACTATTAAAAGTCACATTTTAATAAAATATAATAATTTATTTATAGCATTTTTTACTATACTGTAATAAAAAATTAATTATAATAAATTAAATGTTTATTAAATCAAATGTTTTCTTTGCAATAATATTTTTAATGTTGAGTAAACAATGTTGGGATCAAGTGTATCATTTTTCAGACCTTTCTGAACAGCTTCAAGCATACTGATGCATTCGACTTTTTTAAATTGTGTCATTTCTTCGAAATCTCTTGTGACTTTTTGATAACTTTAACACTTCTCTCTGAATCCAGACTTTAATTTGCAACTTAATCAGGAATGAAGGAACAACACTGGAATATAACTCGATGACAAGTTCATCGAGTCGAAGATTTGGTTGTACACCACTTGTATGTGCCGGATACCATTGTGTCAAATTTTTTCTGAAATTAACTTTAAAAGTACTAAGTAAGATCATGAGATATAGCAATATATGTTTAAACTAACTTATATTTTGGTTGTACACCACTTGTATGTGCCGGATACCATTGTGTCAAATTTTTTCTGAAATTAACTTTAAAAGTACTAAGTAAGATCATGAGATATAGCAATATATGTTTAAACTAACTTATATTTTGGTTGTACACCACTTGTATGTGCCGGATACCATTGTGTCAAATTTTTTCTGAAATTAACTTTAAAAGTACTAAGTAAGATCATGAGATATAGCAATATATGTTTAAACCAACTTATATTTTGGTTGTACACCACTTGTATGTGCCGGATACCATTGTGTCAAATTTTTTCTGAAATTAACTTTAAAAGTACTAAGTAAGATCATGAGATATAGCAATATATGTTTAAACTAACTTATATTTTGGTTGTACACCACTTGTATGTGCCGGATACCATTGTGTCAAATTTTTTCTGAAATTAACTTTAAAAGTACTAAGTAAGATCATGAGATATAGCAATATATGTTTAAACCAACTTATATTTTTGGTTGTACACCACTTGTATGTGCCGGATACCATTGTGTCAAATTTTTTCTGAAATTAACTTTAAAAGTACTAAGTAAGATCATGAGATATAGCAATATATGTTTAAACTAACTTATATTTTGGTTGTACACCACTTGTATGTGCCGGATACCATTGTGTCAAATTTTTTCTGAAATTAACTTTAAAAGTACTAAGTAAGATCATGAGATATAGCAATATATGTTTAAACCAACTTATATTTTGGTTGTACACCACTTGTATGTGCCGGATACCATTGTGTCAAATTTTTTCTGAAATTAACTTTAAAAGTACTAAGTAAGATCATGA